AAGCCTTTTCTTAAAAGCTATTACAATGAACCACGGAGGGGCACCTGGGTGGCTCAATCCGTTAAGCATCCAACTCATGGTTTTGGATCAGGTCATGCATGATCTCATGGTTAGTGAGACTGAGCCCCACACCGGGCTCAGAGATTCTTTCTCTCCCCCTCTCTCTGCCCTGCCCTGCCCTGCCCTGCCCCTCCCCTCCCCTCCGCGCGCGCGCGCACGTGTGTGTGTGTGTGTGTGTGTGTGTGTGTGTGTGTGTGTGTGTCTGTCTCTCTCTCTCTCTCAAAAGAAACATTTTTTAAAAAATAAACCTTGGGGGCGCCTGGGTGGCGCAGTCGGTTAAGCGTCCGACTTCAGCCAGGTCACGATCTCGCGCTCCGTGAGTTCGAGCCCCGCGTCGGGCTCTGGGCTGATGGCTCAGAGCCTGGAGCCTGTTTCCGATTCTGTGTCTCCCTCTCTCTCTGCCCCTCCCCCATTCATGCTCTGTCTCTCTCTGTCCCCAAAATAAAAAAAATAAAAAAATAAAAGTTAAAAAAAAAAATAAAAAATAAAAAATAAACCTTGGAAACTCACACTTAGCTAAGAACAGATTAATAAAAAGAAAATACATGTGTGTCTCATTTTAACAAAATCCAATTGTTAGAAAAGATAAACCACAGAATTTTTTTTTTTTTAAACGTTTATTTTTGAGAGAGAGAGCGAGCACGAGCAGGGGAGAGGGAGACACAGAATCCAAAGCAGGCTCCAGGCTCCGAGCTGTCAGCACAGAGCCCGACGCGGGGCTCCGACTCACAAGCTGTGAGATCATGACCTGAGCCGAAGTTGGACGCTTAACCGAATGAGCCACCCAGGCGCCCCACAGAATTTCCTAAACCACAGAATTTCTTAAAACAGCTACATTCCAGTGTTGTTTTCAATAGGAACTACCTGGCAGACAGAGATGGGGGGCGGAGGGGTTAAAATGTTGATCTCTGAATTAACTAAGCTACCCTCCCTTATCCCCCAAAGCTCCACCCTTATTTTTTAGGAACTCCTATAAATAGTGTGATAACTCCATAAATTAAAAAAAAAAGAAAAAAGAAAAAAAGGAGGGGGGGGAAGAAGAAACAACAGTGATATTTTAAGAGCTTAAAAATACAGGGGTGCCTGGGTGGCTCAGTTGGTTAAGCATCCAACCCCACGTCCAGTCTGTGGAGCCTGCTTTGGATTCTTGTCTGTCTGTCTGTCTGTCTGTCTGTCTCTCTCTCTCTCTCTGCCCCCTGCTCATCCGCTCATGCCCCCCCCCTCAAAAATAAACATTATTTTTTTTAAATAGGACTTCTAGAAAAAGGTTAAGACTATAGAACACAGTTGCAAGGGAGCCTGAAAGTTTAAACCATGGAAAAAGTTAATCACTATACTGGTTCTGCTGCATGTACTCTGACCATCAATTACTTTCTCAATATAATTCAAGGTGTTCATCAATCTTTCAAGGTTGGAGCCCTGGCTGCCTCAGGGGAGCTCAATTCTTTGGTGTACTAACTAGGCACAGAGATCAGAAACTATACTTCCACCCATCAGAAGAGTCTCTGGAGGGGATAAGGACAAAGATTCCCCTAAAATTCTCGTACTAACTTTACTCCCTCCTGCTTCTCTTGGGTTTTACTGAATCTCGGTTAGTCAGCTTCAGGGAAAAGCACCAATACTACCCTCTTAATTTAGATTAATTTAATCTTGATCCACGGGGAGTAATAAAAATAAAACCTTCTAAGAAATCTTTTTTTTTTTCCTTTAACACAATTGACCCTGGTATTCTGAGAGGTATGTTCAAGTAAAAACATTAACAGCAAGGGGAAAACAGGCCTGTAGAACTCATTTTATAGCAAGATTTTATCTAGGATACGGTTTTCCTTGTTGTGAGGCTATCTGCAAAAAAGGTTACAGTCAGACACAAAATGGAGAGACTGAAATATTTATACTGGAGAAGGTTAAAAGCGAGACAGCCTTCAATATATAAAATACTCCTGTGCTAAAGAAAATGGGTTCTTCTGAGACACTATCGATGAATACACTTTTACTACAATTCAAGACACATATTAGCTTGAGTGTGAACCAAATAAGGGTGGCAGCCACAGGGAAGTAATAATGAGAGAGAAGAAACTGGGGTTTGCCCATTCCCAGAAGTTAAATGAGGTTTTTGATCACTAGACAACTCTGTACGCAAGCACAAACACCCTAGATATCGGAAGTAAAGGCCAGACTTTCTTGTTAAACAAGGGAAATTACATACATTCAAATATATTCAATTAACTTCCCCCCACCCCTGACAAAACTCCAACGAAATGACAGTAAAAGAATAAATTAGGAAAAAATAAAGGGGGGGAAAAAAGGAGGGTGAGGGTGGGAAAACACAGGTCCGGTTATAAGCCTTTTATTATTTTTTTAATGCTTACTTCTTGTTTGCTTTGGGAGACAGCGAGCGTGCACAAGCGATCAGGGGAGGGGCAGGGAGAGGGAGACAGAGGATCCGGAACAGGCTCCCTGCTCAGAGCCTGACATGGGGGCTCGATCCCACAAACTGGGATCATGGCCTGAGCTAAAACCAAGAGTCAGTTGCTTATCCACCCCGGCGCCCCTGGTTGTAAGTCTTTTAAAAGGACCGTTCAGACCCCTAGGCACTTCGCCTTTCTTTCAATTGTAGGTTTTAGTCCCCACAGAAGCTGAACAGGAGAGTCTGGTTCAAGAGCCCTTAAGGACAGCAGAGGACCACATGAGGCACCAAACAGAGGACAGGATTCAATAAGACCCTGAACGAAGCCAGCCCTAGACACAGACTGAAGAAGTCCCTCAGCACCAGGTCAACAGCCCCAGAGAAAAGGCTCTAGCCACTGAAATGGGGGTGGGGGGCAGTCACCTTGGAGAGAAGCCCTTGGTAGACCAGCTCCACCCTAATACACAGAGCCCAAATCAGCTTCTCAGGATTTCATCTTGATGCAGGAATGAAATTTAAGGAGAGCTTCCATTAGGAAAGAGAGTTTAAAATGGCGGCGGGGGCGGGGGGGTGGGGGAGGGGGTGTCTCAGAAACAATCCAGTAAGGATAAGAAAACCTCAACAACTGTAAATAATATCCTGAGAAAAACCACAGAGAAACAAAATCAAAGAACAAAAGTAACACTCTAAGAAATAAAAGGTGCAATGAACAAGATAAAAAAGGGCGAGTAATAATCCAAAATGTAGAATACAAAGCAGATGATCAAAAATGGGAGAAAACGCAGAAAAAAACAGAGAAATCAGTCTGCATTTCAATATGCAACGAAGGGTATGTCAAAAAAGACAGAACAAAGAGATTACACTGATAGGAAGGAAATTATCCAAATGCTAGTATCAGAAATGTTCGAGACTTGAGGAAAACGAAAAATGAGTCTGAATGAGTTGGTACATAGTCAATGCAACAAAGTGGGGGGGGGGGGAGAGGAACACGAAGACACATCATGAAATTTCAGAACACTGTGGATAATCATCCACATTCTGAAAGCCTCCCAAAACACTGTTGGGGGGTTGGGGCCACACTCAGAAGAGGTGAAAAATCAGAACAGCATCAGCCCTCTTGACATCAACAGACGCCAGAAAGCCACAGAGCAATCCCTTACAAATTCTGAAGGAAGGCTGTGTACCTAGCTTTAGCAAGAACCAAAACGTTTTTAAATACGAGCGCTCAAAGTTCACCTCCCATGCACGCTCCCTAAAGAAGCCACCATAGAACATGTTCCACAAAGCAGGGAAAAATCCAAGGAAGAAGACCAGTTCTAGAAAAGGAGAGCCATGAAGGAATGTCTAGGGTGAGGGAAAAGAAGTCGACAGACGGTTTTTAATAGCATACAGGCCCTTTATTTAGAATGTGGGGGTAGATTCCAGAAACAAGAGCCAGTAGATGAATGAGCAGGCTCCTCTGGGGAGGTGGGCACAGTGGGGTGGAGACTCCCTTTGTTACAAGCTTTACACTGTCAAGGGGACTCCCAGCAGGAGAGGAAATGCCCACATCACTTTACCTACACAAGAAATCTACCTTGAACGTCACGGATTGCGTACTAGTACTCAGTGAGTGACACACGTGTGTTCAATGGAACTTACTTTGTCCCCTGTATTATCATCTCTTACCTAGAGTTTAAAACATTCACCACGGATCTACGTAACAGGACAGCATAAACTACCACAATTGTAGAACACAGATTTGTGGCACTTGTTGAGGAGTCAGAAAAAGAGTTAAAACTTCCAAAGAAAGTTCTTCCAAAATTTCAATGATGTATAATAACTAGAATTATCTTCACAAGGACTGGGGATGTATCTTGCTCCTATATTTTGCATTTTTCTATCTATGCTAGTGGAACACTGCCAGAAGTCAGCTGACAAAGAGTCCACAGACACATGGAGGCACTTGCAAAACTTTATTTATTACACCTGTACATTTGGGCCACTTCTATTTGGGCATTTAAATAATTCTCAAAGAAACAACAGATCATGTAGCATAGGCCATATGAAATTTCGGTTATGAAAAAATTTGATACAAAATAGGAAAAATCTGGCTAACTCCAATCTAAGACCCTTAAGACTTCGAGCAGTCTTGTTTCCCTTCCATTAAAAAGAGTATTTTAGGGGCACCTGGGTGGCTCAGTCGGTTAAGCGTCCGACTTCAGCTCAGGTCATGATCTCGCGGTTCGTGGGTTGAAGCCCTGCATGGGGCTCTGTGCTGACAGCTCGGAGCCTGGAGCCGGCTTCCGATTCTGTGTCGCCCTCTCTCTCTGCCCCTCCCCTGCTCGTGCTCACTCGCTCGCTCTCTCAAAAATAAATAAACGTTTAAAAAAAAAAAAAAAAGAGTATTTTAAAATTCCAAATCAAGTTTCTTGGCTTTAAGCCTACTGATGCAAATGAACAATTTTCCTTTAATAAATTATGAAACACATTCAACACTTTGAAAACGATTTGCAACCATAGTTGTGAAGGCGGAGTACCAACGGATACTTACATTGACTAATCCAAAATAGTGCTCATTGACTGGAAACTGTTCTGGACCAATCTCTTTCTCTAATGCCGAGGCATTGGCGCCCTGTAAAATAAAAATTAAAACAAACGAAACAGCACTCTTAGTATTCGTAGTATTTTCATAACGTTTCGGTTGTACGTGCATCACAGAGACATCCCTTAAAAAACTGTGTTCCCTTTCACCAGGTAACATTACTGAAAGAAAATGAAGGATGATAGTGAAGAGTGAAGGATTTTAATAGTAAGACTAGTTTGCAAGAACTTTCTCAGGAAAGCAAAGCGCAGATCAAGAAGCTGTACTTATAACTTGTGACTTTTTTTCTAGCTAGCGGATTAAAGCCCCTGCTGTACCCGTGCCCTAACGGGGTATAATTCGACAGCCATCTCAGGGAGCCGAAACCAAACACACATGTAGTAGGTGACTTAACAGTTCCTCCAAGTTTGACCTGACGGATCCCCACCCGGGACCCACAGTGACAAGCACGCCACGCGGCGGGCGGCACGGACGACCGCACAGCCAACAAGCAGCCAGTCTATGAAATGTGACGGCCAGCTCCGGAGCAGAGTCGGAATGATCGGAGCTAGGTTTACATACAAAAGCACGCTTAGTTCTCAAAAACATAACGTTAAATATGAAAAAAAGAAAAACCGAGCTTAACGCATACATAATAAAGACTAGCACCCGGCCAGCGGGCTTCAGAATGGATGTTAGACGTCCTTGCGTGGGTGCTGAAGAGCACTGGGGCATTGCAACTGGGGGTGAAGGATAAAAAAGGGAAAAACCAACACGAAACCCAACAGAAGAAGGGCCCGGCACAGACCACAATCACGTGTCATGGTCTCAGGAATACGACCGACTCAACTCCGTCCCTGAAAAAGAGGGGAGGTGGGGGTGCCACTAGGGCCCTGTGTACTGGCACACGCCCCTAAATGGACTCCCAACGTAGCCGGAGAGGGAAAAAAGACAGCAACACTGAAAGCATGATACCTCTAGGTATGTGTACTTAAAACTCCCAAGAAAACATCCCCCCAGACAAAACCCATGCGACATCACTCACAAAATGCCGGCGGCCACTCTGCAAAGCTGCAGTAAAACCACACGCACACACTGCCTCCTCCGGGGCACGGACATGAAATTAACACCACCTCGGTGCTCAGAAGACCTGGCCGTTTCCTGACTGAGCTCCATCCCTGGACTTGGGAAGGCCAACCTTTGTTAGACAACACATCCTCAACTTCCTGATTGTAAGCACTGATTAGAGGGACTGGGTGGATTGGTGGTCAGATTCTACCAAAACAACACATTTCCTCTAATGTCCTCCAGCCATCCAGCGCTGGTACATAAACATGACGCTGCCTTCGTTATTTATTTTTTTTTTTTTAATTTGGGACTCGTTTTAGGCTTTACACAAAACCTTGACGGAATCGCTAGTTTACAAACACCCTTTACTTCCAATTTGGCTATGCCCTGTGTTTTGACATCAAATTCAATGATCACAGCAACTTCGAGACCCACTGAACAAATCTGTCTCGGTGGGAATGCTGCAAGCCCCACCCTCCACCCCTGCCAGCTCAAGTACCATGTCAAAGCTTCCTCACGTATGTTGAAAACTATCAGTAACCCGGATGTTTACCACTTACCATACGAATTCAAAACAATATTCGTTTAAATAAGTATAACCCCTCCCCCACAAAAAAAGAAGAAAGGCTCTATGATCCAAAGTACAACCTCATCACATCTATTTATGTGGACAGTAAAATGTCAGTGCACCTAACTCCGGAAAGCGTTTCTGGCCTGTGGGAAGAACAGGATAACACGTGAACATTCTCTCTCCAATGTAATAGCAATCACATGCCACAGAGCACGTATTCTCACCAGTCCAGATGACCCATTCATCCCCCTACCCGTGACATATCATGCATGCTCTGCTTAGAAATCCCTCTCCCCGTCCGCATCCTCAAGGTAGTTTGGCTACAGATCAACTTACTAGCTTCTTTGTGCCTCAGTTTCCTAACTGTAAAAGGAAAATGTCACCAACTATTCTACAGGGCGGCTACAAATTAACTGAATTGAAACCTTGGTGAAAGCATCCGCAGTGCCTGGCACAGAAGCAGGTGTCCCATAAATGATGGCTGCCTTCTCCCCCTTCCCTTCAAATTCAAGGGGGGAAGAAAAGCTACTCTCATTAGCCAGTAATGATCACAAATATCTGCTCCAAACAATAGCTAAGAAACAGCAAGAGAAAGAAACAAAGGCACAAGAAAAAATGAGATAGCTATCATTAAAAAAAACAACTTTGGCCAACCCCACAAAGCAGTGCAGAGGTATAGTCACTGTACTGTCCAAAAGTCTAACAACAAAGCAAAACCACAATCCAATCGGAGGTCTGGGAGAAAGATGCTAAGTGTGGGAAGGTGGAAACAGCCATAAACCATAGTCATTTAACCTTTCTGGGTTTAAGACGCTTCATTTGCAAGATAAAGGCGTTGGTCTCCACTGATTTTCAAAACCTCCAACTCCTCTACGTTGATCTGTTTGTTGCGTTTCCAAGTAATCCATTACCCAAATCAAGGTTTTCACAGCTAAACATGTTTAGAAAATTAAAAGACAAGGTAATTTCTACAGTCTCTTCTAACTCAACATTCTAACACTACCGATCACTTTTATCAAGCCTCCTGAGGACATGTACTAGATCAACACAAAACTCTAGGAAGTCCAAGCCAACCAATAAATGCCAAGCAACACAATTCAACAGGGAGAGATTACAGTGACAGATGGAGTCAGGGTAGCGGATCCAAATGGAAAGTACAAAGAGACAACGGCATTTACTTTATGACAGTTCTAAATTAAAGCACAGCCTAGTAACATACACCTTACCATGACAAGGACGCTGTATAGCAGATTCTGTGAATGTGCAGGAGATACTCTTATGGCATGAATTCAAGATTTTCTCTGCGGAAATTATCAGAGTACAACTCTACTCTAACTCCATGCCAACTACAAAGGCAAAGAGTAGACGAAGCAATTCAGTTTCTGATGACTGGTTTTCAACACTACAGTTAGACACAGCTGGGGAAAAACAGCCACCAAGCCAAAAGTTTGCTGCGTAATTTTTAGTATCTGTAGAAGAGTTCTCTGTGTCGTCACCCCTTGAAGATTTTGTTGGAAGTTGGCAAACCCTTTTGTGTCAAATAATGGTCAACAAGCACCCCAAGGTTTAAACTGAACCTAGAATAAGTCAATATCCAATAGCAATGGCTCTGAACAATTCTCTATCCCTACGCTTGAGAAATAGGATCCTACTACAATTAACAGTGGTTTACTAAATCAGTGATGCTTTACCAGGACAAAAGAAAGAAATGGTGGCATGCTCAAGTAAGAATTTTTGCTCTAACGCTTTCATACGTATAGGTATCAGGATTCATCTGTTTTGTAGGAGTACATGACACACACACACACAGGAAGAAGACGTTCTTTTTGGAGTTTCTGGCTCCGTTTTTGTAACTTACACAAAAGGTTATTTTAGACTCAGTACCTATTAGTACAAAATTCATCATAAGGACGGAATTAGATATCCCTGACTCCCTGATGAAAACAACCAAAAGGTGGATGAATTTTAATATTAAAAGATAAGAATTTACTGAGCTGGTGAGAAAATAAGGAAGCTGCAGAGAACAAAAAACAAAATGATGGGGGAACCCTGGAGGCTAAGCCAATGCCAAAGAGAGATTTCACGCTGAGGGTTAACTGTCAACACTAGTGACCTTTACACGCTCTTCTGACAGCTGAATGAAACGGAGTGCAGGGAAACCGAAAACTTCGGGAGACAGAAAGGCCAACAGAAGACCTGAGCATGGGCACTGAGATCCCAAAAAGGCTGGATCGTCATGTCAGGGGGAGCAAGAAATAATCCTGTACCGCAGGAGGAGGCAGCAAGGAAATGCGTCCGGCATGTCCTTGGCACTGAGAGTGGAGCGCGTCTTCCGAAAACTCGCAACCCCAACCTGACTTATGAAAGACTGTAACCCAAATTCATGCCAGCTGTATGATCTTACAGCAAAACCACCTGAGCAGAAAATGTAATTCAGAGAGACCCTGAGATGACAGTGCCCTCTTCACCCTACAACCCGCAGAACGACCAAGTTCACCCTGGAAGATAAAGCCAATCCACCCCACAAAAAGTTCCCACAGATAACACTCCAAGAGACTGGAGTTCACAATCAAAACTCATACACATACCCAAAGCCACAGGAAAATAGAGTACTCTATGAATAAACACCAGCAGAAGCACAGACGGCAGAATGAGACTCTCAAGACATTTAATATCAGACCTATTTCCGACATGATACAGAACAAATGCATAACATGTGCCAAAAAGTAACACTGGCTTGATTTTAAGAACAAAGATGAGATTCTAAAGCCAAAGCAGATTTTTTTTTTAAAGAGCCAAATAAAACTTTTAAATATAAAAATTATAATAATTGAAAGTAAAAACTTAATGGTGGGGAGCCTGGGTAGCTCAATTGGTTAAGAGTCCAACTTCGGCTCAGGTCACGATCTCACGGTCCGTGAGTTCGAGCCCTACATCGGGCTCTGTGCTGACAGCTCAGAGCCTGGAGCCTGCTTCACATTCTGTCTCAGTCTCTCTGCCCCTCCCCCACTTGTGTGCGCTCTCTCTTTTTCTCTCTCAAATACAAATAAACATTACAAATTTTTTTTTAATTGAAAATGGTAACTAGAGGGACAGTAAAAATATCAGAAGTTGGGGAGAAAGGGATGAAGAGGCAGAGCACAGATTTTTAGGGCAGTGACGATATTCCATGTAATACTACCATGATGAATATGTCATCATACATTTGTTCAGACCCACAGAATGTACCCCAAAAGTAAACAGTAACACAAACTATGGACTTTACCTGATTATGATGTTTCAACATAGTTCATTAATTATGACAAATGTACTCCTCTGGTGGGGGGGGGGGGTGATGGTAATGAGGGAGGCTATGCTCACACTGGGGCAGGTCTATATGAGAAATCCATATATCATATGGGAAATCCAAAAT